TCTGGCAGTGAGAAAAGATGTTGCTTTGAGTGAGAAATCTGGGTTCCTTTTCAAAGTAAATGAGATTTAGGTGTGTGTGTGTGTACGCGCGCATGCGCGCGCAACTATCAAGATACTGCTGTTGAGAAGCTGTTGCAAAACCCATGCCTACAGTCATACTTTTGTTTAGAGACCAGCTGCTTTTCAAGTCAGAGGTGGTATAGAATCTTATAAAATTAGATACTGGTCCAACAAGTTAACAACAATTCATTAGAATAAATTAATGGACAGTTATAAGAAAATTATGTGGAGAAATAATGCGGTAAAGAAAAGATTATATATTATAGTAAAACATTTTTTACTTCTTGACTACTCACTAGTCAATAATTCATAATTCACTAGTTGCATAAGCATCCTTTACAGCATAAACTAGTCAATAACTCTTAATTCACTAGTTGCATAAACATCCTCTACAGGATACTTGCCACCACAAATTATTTTAAATAAAGTGAGTCTTATGAGACCCTCTTAAAGACTTATATAACAATATTTGATGCTATAATTTAAATGTATGACTTTTGATGTTTGGAATAATGGCCTTAAATATAAAAATGTATGTGTTAGGCCCAGTTGACTAGAGAAATACATCCAGAGACACTCATGTATAAGGAAGAGCTTTGTACCAAGAAGATATCATCCATCAATAAAACATCCCAGCGCAGTCCAACTCAAGTCCTTAAGTTTGATACTAGTCCATGAGTCCCTCTTCAGAGAATGCAGGAAGATCACAGGCTGCTGGGTACAGAGTTGTATGGAGCCATTTATCTCTGCCCTTCAATTAAACTGAAACCTTTTTAACCCCACATGTATGTATTGGCCAGGTTGGCACAATCCTACCTATCACAATCATATTCTAAACTTTTTGTTGGCTGTTGTCAAATTGATCCAATATAGATAATCCTTAAAATAGCATAATGCTCAAAGCAGACTTTATTTTTTAAGTGAAATTGTTGTTTGCTTTTAGGACTTCGGATAGTATTTTTGGTTTAGAGTTTAAAGATTATATCTCAAGGCAGTGGTTTCAGAGGTTTATTTTGCCTTAGCCTTCATGGTTCCAGAAAGTGTAAATTCCATGAGAAAGTGAACTTCTGTCTTGGATCAAAATAGTAATGGCAGTGGTGGCCCACCCGTTCTTCATGAAGGAAAGCAGCCACACGTCCCATGTCCCCTTCCTCGTCCCAAGTCTCTTCTGCTTCCTGGTAGCTTGGGGTGCTTTTCGGTTTTGTTGTCTTAGTCACAATTCACACTTCAGTTTTTTGACAAGGTCACAGCAAACTTTTTTTTTAATGAATCTGAGGAGAGTTTCAGTGTTGCACTTAAAAAGCATTGCCAGGCTTAAAAGCTATTGTGAATGAGTACATTTATAAATAGTCATTTTTTTTGCTCAGATATCACCTTTTCAATGAGGCTTTCTTTATCTCCACAGCCTGTACTTTCTAATATGTTCCATAACTTAATTATTTTGGTTGTAGTGTTTCTGTCTTCACCACTTATAAATGTTGTTCCATGGAGGCAGGGTTTTGTCTGTTTTATTGATGTCGGGCTTTCCACCTAGAACATTGTGCTCACTCCATTAATATGTACTAGATTTGCTGGAAAATTGCTTTCTTGATGCCCTCATTTGGCTTCAGGGTAACTTGATGGGATGTCAGTACAACTTTGGAAATCTCAAGGGTCTTAAAACTTTATCTTAAGGACTAATTTTAAAGCTATGTTATTAACGAACTAAATTGTTAGGTATCATCAAGTTGGTTCCAACTTAATGTATGTCTTTAAGCTATGAAAACCCATACTTAACTACTGTCTTGTTTTTGTTTTGTATTTTTTCCCCTGAATGTCTTATTAATTTTATGTGCTTTGTACAGGGGTAAGTCAGAAAGCGTTGCTATAAAGACATAGAAACCTTATTTTAAACAAAAATATCAAATGTGAAGCAATGGTTTCTCAACATAAATCGTCCAGTTCTGTACACTTTTAAAGGCAGTCTTTTCATCTCCCTATCCCTTCCCCCAAATATTTTTCAATTTACACTATGGCAGAACCGTAGGGTTAGCCTCCTCACCGGGTTTAAATTGTGTCCTCAAGTCGGAAGGGGCAAAATCAGGGCTTTGGGGTGGGTGAATCCTCAAACCTCACTGCCATCAGGTCAGTTCTGACTTACAGCGATCCTGTAGGACGGGGTAGAACTCCCCCTGGGGGTTTCTGAGACTAACTCTTTCCGGGAGATGAGGATTCCCAAGAAAGATCGTGTGGCACAGCGCACACAGCAGATGTAGTCTTGTGATGGGAAATTCCTTGGTGCAACTTTCCTGGTCCATTTCTCTTAAATGTGCTTTTCAAGTTCTTCTTTTTCTTTTTAGTAAGCTTCTGTGGTCATCTTTGTTGAGAAAATCTATCAAGATGTAACTGTTGTGACCAAAAAACTTTCTGAGCTGACGTCTTGTATCTTGTATGGTTTTCCATCAGTTTTTGGACTTCAGCCACTGTTTCGTCATTCGCCAAAGATAACGATCTTCCCATCATTCCTTAAAACACTTGAACCTTGTAAAAGTTAGCATTTTGTGTCCTTTCCTATAAATTGTTGCAAAAGCTTCAGTGATTCGTGAAGGCGTCTACTGGAGCTTTGTTCAAATTGAGTACCCTGACGACAAATGAGTCACTGAGAGAGCTTGTCTGCAGCCGTCCGCCGGTCACAGACACGTTTAAACATGTTCGGACCAGTTTGGAGTAAGTCCATGGGTATGTGAACCTAGTAACAATATGTCATGACTTACCCCCATATGACAAAACATTTGCCCCTTCGATCATTTTTGCAGGTAAAACTCCACGGGATTAATTACATTCACTGTGTTGTACAGCCATCATCATCATTCGTTTTTCATCATTCTGTGCCTTGTAAGCATGGTCTTCCCACTTTCCCTCCCTACCATCCCTGGTATCCGCTAAGAAACTTCCATGCCTGTGTTGCTACCTGTTCTGGGTATTTCATCTAAGTGGGATAATATATTATCTGACCTTCTGTATCTGCTTTGTTTTACTCTCAGCATAATGCTTTCATGGTTGATTTATGTGGGGGAATGTTTCAGAACTTAATTTTTCTCTCTGGTTGAGTAGTCATCTATTGCACATATGAACTACATTTTGTTTATTCATATTGATGGTTACTTGGGGTTGTTTCCACCTTTGGGCTATTGCGAGTAATATTGTACTGGATGGTCGGCATGCAGGTATCTGAGCCCTTGTTTTCGGTTCTTTTGAACATATACCAAGGAGTGTAGATGCTGGCCCATGTGGTAGTTTTATGCTTAACTTTTTAGGAACCACCAACCTGGTTCCCAAAGCTACTGCCATTGTTAACTGTTCCACCAGCAGTGTGTAAGGATTCTGAGTTGGCCATGTAGTCATCTTAGTAGGAGTGAAGTAGTATCCCATAGTTTATACTTTTATGTCTCCACGAACGAACGGAGGAGTCCTGGCGGGATAGTGAATTTAAGCATTGGACTGCTTCAAACAGCGGTTCTCAACCAGTGGGTCGCTACCCCTTTGAGAGTCAAAAGACCCTTTCACAGGGGTCTCCCGATTCTTCACAATAGCAAAATGACAGTTATGAAGTCGCAACGAAAATAATGTTATGTTTGGGAGGTCAGCACATGAGGAACTGTATGAAAGGGTCCTGGCATTAGGAAGGTTGAAAACCACTGGCTTAAATGAGGCGGTCAGTTTTCGTACAGATGTGTAGTTGGAGAAGCCCTATGGAGCCCTTGTCCTCCGCCCTGTAGGGTCGCTATGAGTTAGGATCAACCCGGCAGCAGTGACTTCTAACAACTAATGGAGGGTAGCATTTCCTTCATGGACTTATTGGCTCTTCTGTCTTCTTTGGTTAAACATCTATTTCAACCCTTTGACTTTTTTTCTTGGGTTTGTTTTTTTCTCTTGTGTAGTTACAAATGGCATGTATTTATTTAAGTAATAGAGTTTCAGCTTGTGGAGTAGAGAAATAGAATCTTTTTTTGTTAAACTGGTGTTCATATCTAGCAACTCTGTGTTGTTGGTTGGGTGTTCTCTATAAACAAGCATGCCATTTGCCTCTACCATTAAACCTTCCCATCGAGCTTTAAGTTTTAATTATGTGTTTTCCATTTCTAGCATTTGTTTGGTTTGTTTTCAGACCTACTGATGGCCACCTCTTTTCAGGTTTCTCTATTACTTCCTTTAGCATAGTACACATTGCTACTTGTTTTCTATCCTTGATATGAATTCATAACAATCTGATTCTGCACTCTATTTCTACTAATTGTGTGGGGGGGGGTGTGCATGCCCGCTGTGATTTAAAATGTGAACTCATTTCTTAGAAGTTTATTTTTGCCAGATGCTCGGTGGCAATACTAGTTTAAGAGCACTTTAAATCTTTTAAATCACTTGGTCATTTGAATTCAGGCTATAGCCCTGTAAGGAGGATGGTGTGTGATTATGAATTTTCAGAGATGTGGTTTGAAGGACCTTTTCACTTAGCCGCTTTTTTTAATTGCCTAGGAAGATTTCTAGTGCACTGTACATTGAAGGCGTCTTGAGGTCTCCGCTTTACAAGGCTTTCTCTAGATAGCCACCATCAACAGGCCTTAGTCTTTGCCTTCTTGTATTGTGTCCTACTGTGCTACGAAATCTAAGCTCGGATTTTTACCTCCTGTGGAAAATGCAGTGCCCTCGAGGTGAAAGCCTTCTTTAATGCCTCTTTTTTGCCTTCTTGGTAGCTCACCAAGGCCTTTTAGAAGGCATTGCGATATTCTGTCAAATAGTTTAAGTTCTTTTCCACCATGCTGTTGGAAATTCGTGCATTTTCATTATGTCATTTCTAGTTATTTTGAGAAGAAAATACAGGATTAAGCCAGCAGATGAAAATTTCTATGAAACTGAAAATGGTCTTTTATAGCTGCTAATTACAAATATTTCTTCCTTTATAGGTGTCAGCTGTGATGCATGTTTAAAAGGAAATTTTCGAGGTCGCAGATACAAGTGCTTAATTTGCTATGATTACGATCTTTGTGCATCTTGTTATGAAAGTGGTGCAACAACAACGAGGCATACAACTGACCACCCAATGCAGTGCATATTAACGAGGGTAGATTTTGGTGAGTATTTCATTGCCATTTCAATGAACTCTTCCTTAGAACGTTGGGGCTAGGTATGTGAAGAAGTACAGGAACATGTTCTAAAGCTATCCCCAGTATCATACAGAAGACCTCACGTTCATTAAAAATAGGATGGGTCTTACTTTTTTATATTCTAAGTGACTGCTTAATCAAAGTGTACTTGTTTATGAAAACCAATTAGCAGTATACGGAACTGAAGGAAATAGAGAAGTGTCTCAGAATGCAGTAAAAACTATTGTAGCACACAAGCACAAGTTCTTGTTCTAGCTATCCGAAAGCAGGTTGTTTCTATAGCTGATGAGAAAACATTGTCTGTCCTTAAGGAAAGCTGTACAAGTTCTCATTTCGCTGTTCAATTTCTACAACGCTTTTAGCAACAACGAAAGATGAATATTATCTCTCATACTTATATGAGAGAAGACTAAAATGTCTGTGTAAGAAAATATTATGGTTAAAAATAAAAGAGTATTTTAGGAATTTGCAGTAATAAAAGTCTCAATCAGCCCAGAATCATACAGTCATAGAATTCCAGATCAAGAAGGGATTCTAAAGGTCTTTAAGACTAATGATTTTCTCATCCACTCCTGACCCCACATACTTGTGTAATAGAGACAGACAACTTGATGGCAGGCGTGTGGAAGAATGCGTGTGTGCGGAGCAAAACCTTCAAAGGCAGCAGGACTTTGGATGCTCTTTTGGGGGGAGCAGTTTTATAGAAGAACTGAGCAGAAAGCACAGGAAGTTTCCTTGGGCTCCCTCCCTTCTAACATTGTTTCTCCAATTAACATCTTGCATTCTTGTGGTGTATTTGTTACAATGAATGAGTCGATATCAGTTCATTATTATTAACAAAAGTCCATGTATTGCATTAGGATTTCATGGTTCACTCTTTGCCTTAACGTGGTTATGGGTTTTAACAAAGGCATAGTGCCCCGTAGTCACCATTATAATTTCATACTGAGTACTTTTACTGCTCCCAAAATAGCTTGTGCGCAACCTGTTAATCCTTCTCCCTGCCCCTGATTCCTGGATTTTTTCACAACCTCTGGCATTTTGCCTTTTCCAAAATGTCATTTAGTTGAGGCTCGGTGATAGAATTCACCTTACTCCAGTGGGAGGTCCAGGTTTGATTTCCAGTGCACCATCGCCCACCTCTGAGTACTGCTTTGGCTGTAGCTCTGACGCTGAGACCTTCCAGACTTAAGAATGACTCAGTAAAAAGGCCTGGCAATCCACTGGTGAAAATCATCCAATGGAGACCACACATCCGATCACAGGGATGGCAGGGGCCAGATTGGGCATGGGGCCACCAGGAGTTGGGGTCAACAGTGGTAGCTAACAACAACATACAAGGGACTTCAAAAGTTTGTAGGAAAATTAAATTAAAAGATAAAAACTACAAACTTTATTTCTCCACCTAGGCTCCAAGATCAAGGTACTTTTGTAAGCAGTGAAATCAGTCTCTTAGTTCATCCCTAAAGAACTGAGAGTCCTGGGAATTTAACCAGGTCAGTAGGGGGGTATGGTGTTAGAAGGGGTCAGATCAGGACTGTAATGTGGATGGATACCTTATGATTTTTAATGAAAACTTGCAAAATCCCCCGTTAGTTGAAAGGAATGAGCAGGAACATTGATGTGGTGGAGAGGACCCTCTGAGGAAGTTTTACTGGCATTTTTCTGCTAATGCTTTAACTAACTTTCTCAAAACATTCTCATAATAAGTAGGCATCATCATTTTTGACTCTCCAAAAAGTCAGTAAGCAAAATGCCTGATCATCCGTAAACACTCTGTCTAGACCTTTTTTTCTTGGCCAGTCAGTCCCATCTCTTGTCAGCTGTTGCTTTGATTGTTCTTTCTCTTCAGGAGTGTACCTGGAAAGCCACATTTCATCTCCTGTTAGAATTCTTCACAGCAGTGCTAATGGATCTTGACTTCGCCTGTATCCAATGTCCACTTTAAACATTTTGTTTAAAATGTTCTGCTCTCATACGCGGCTGCTCTAGGTGCAACACATTTGGCACCCATTAAGCAGGAAGTTTGTTTAACTTTAATTTTCCAGTCAGAACTGTGTAAATAACCCATTGAGATGTCTCTGGCGTTGGCTGTTGTTTCTACTGGTAATCGCCAATTCTCTTCCATTAGGGCACGAACAAGATTACTTCCTAGCAAACTGATTTGGATGGTCTGCCACTGCTGACTTCGTTTTTATCATCTCATCCCTTTTTAAATGAATTAGCTCTTTGTAAACTGCTGCTTTCTTTGGAGCATGATCCCCAGAGATCTTTGTAAAGCATGAGGATTTCATCATTCTTCTACCAAAGTTTCGCCAAAAATTTGGTGTTTGTTCTTGCCTTAGTTTTAGCAGGGTTCACCTTGTGCAATCCTGCCCTTGATCAGTGTGAGTTTTCCATCACCATTAATCTTCCCCTGGCGTCCCAACCCTGGTGGCTAGGAGTGTCTTCAGCCTCCGTCCATGCTGCCGTGTGTATCAAGATTTGTTTCGTCTCCTACGGGCTGTACCACCTTTTTGTTTATTCACTCACCTGCTATTGAGCATTTAGACTGTTTAAACCTTTTGGAGTCTCTGTTTTCTTACGTCAAGGCATATGCCTAGAAATGGAATTGCTGGATATCTATTTTTAGGTGTTTAAGGAAATGCCATGCTGTTTTTCATAACACCTGAACTTTTTGCATTTCCAACAGCAATGAATAGAGTTGTAATTTTCCCACATCCTCACCAGCATTTGTTATTTTTTGTGTTTTGTTTTGGCCATCCTAGTGGAAATGAATGGCACCCCATGTGGTTTTGATTTGCCTATCTCTGATACTTAATGACTGAGCAGCACACTCTGCTTGGTGGCCTTTTAATCTCTTTGGTAAAATGCCTGTTCAAGTCATTTGCCCATTTTATGATTAGACTGGCATTTGTTGTTGTCAAATTTTATATATATCTTGATTCTTAATTCTGTCTGTGGTTTCTAACAATATTTTTCTGTTATAGCTTGCCTTTCCTTTTGTTTTGTTTTTGTGGGGGTTTTTTGGTAAAGTTTTTTGACGAACAAAAATTTTTAATTTTTCTGAATTCTCGGTTTATTTTTTCTTTTTCTGTTTGTAATCTTGTTAATTCTATTGTTGAAAACTAGGCTAACAATATTGCTCCTGTTTGTTTTCTAAAAAATGTTAAGATTTTAGTTATATTTAGGTCCTTAATCCTTTTTGAACTTAGTTTTATGTATGATGTAAGGTGAAGATCTTGTTTCCTTTTTTCCCCTCACATACGCAGTTCCTCTGCTCATCATACCGTGCCAGCCGCTACCACTGTTTCCAAATATTTGTTACCCCTCGCAGACATCCAATGCCCCTGAGCATGTGTACATGTTCTCGCTCTCTCACTCTCGCTCTCTCCTGCTCTGGAGAACTTTTGATAAATCTTGGTCTCTGCACATTTGCCTACTCTAGCTATTTTGTGTACACTGGGTCATACAGTGTCTGTCTATAGTAGCTTGTTAGTGGGTTCTGTAGGCTTTCCATGGTCCATGCCGTCTGCAAGTAAACATTGTTTGGAAGCCTTTTATTTCATTTCGCTCCCTTATCATCCTGATTAGATACTCTTTTGAACAGAAATGTCAAGGGCAAACATCATCTTGTTTCTGACTATAGAAGGAAAAACCACCTAGACTTTTGCTATTAAGCATGATGTTAGCTGTATTATTCTTGTAGATACTCTTAATGGAAGTGAGACATTTCCGCCCTTTCAATATGTCTACCCCCACTTAACATAAAACTACCTCACAAATCTTTTGAGCATAATAAGTGGTTGATATATATGTAGTAGATAAAACCTTTCAGATATTTTTAAGAAGAGAGTTCTCCTTAAAGAATTAAATCTGAATTAGATCTCCTTAAAGAATTAAGTATGAACAAGCTTTATTTAGTGAACACTTGCTTCCCTTTTCTCACACAAGCAGTAATGGCTTCTTATATCTGGTATTTGTTTCATTTAAGTGATAAAGTAATTTTTTTTTCTGATGAAGTAGCAGACCATGCTAAATACGCTTTCAGTTGTAGTTCTTTTTGTGTTACTATTTGTGAGAAAAATATTCCCTCAGATGGACTAATAAAAGCCAAATTACAGATTCCCTCAGACTCTCACTTATTAGATCATTGGTTCTCAACCTTCCTAAAGCAGCGACCCTTTCATACAGTTCCTCATGTTGTGTTGACCCCCAACCATAAAATTGTTTTTGTTGCTACTTCCTGTTATTTTGCTACTGTTTTGAGTCTGGCGACCCCTGTGAAAGAGTCATTCAACCTCCAAAGGGGTTGTGACCCACAGGTTGAGAACCACTGTTCTAGAGGGTTCTTCATTTACCAGTTGAGCAGAGTGAGCCGTGGTAGTCTGGCATTCAGTCTGCCATCTTTCTGAGCTGAGTGAATGCCAGCAGTCTTTCCTGCGAGACGATTGGTTGTTCTACCGGCACATAGGTTGATTGGCAGAATTGGTCACAGTGCTCTGTTCTTATCCTCCCAGCACTTGAGACGTGTGTAACTGACACATCCTAATATCATGTTAATATCTGTGTTGGTCACAGTTTATACAGCCCAGTCGTTGCATTGGACCAATTAAACTCAGCAATTCTATATAGAGGCGTTTGTTTGTTTGTTTTAGCTATATAGAGTTTTTTGAGACTATAAATCTTTACAGGAACAAACAACTTCATGTTTTTCCATGGTAAGCCTAGTAGTGAGTTTGAATTGCCACCCGTGCAGGCTACCAGCCAAAAGTCACGACACCTGGGAAAAATAAATTACCCTAAAATTAAGGACCAGAGATGAAATGAGAGCTGTTACAGAATAAAATAAAGGGATAAAACATGTTGCCTTCATTTTCTCTTGTGACTAACCTAACCGTATGGGACAGGAGTTTGGGATAGTGCCATGGACTCCTGGGGGATGGGAAGGTTACAGATGGCCTCAGAGCTCTGACAAAAGGAGATTATCGATGGAGATTTCACCCCTGTATCCTGTGATCAAATTTATATATACACTTAAAAAAATACTCCTCATTGCAATTCCGTCTTATGTTTTCAGATTTGTACTATGGCGGGGAAGCGTTCTCTGTAGAGCAGCCACAGTCTTTTACTTGTCCCTACTGTGGGAAAATGGGTTACACAGAGACGTCGCTTCAAGAGCACGTTACTTCTGAGCATGCGGAAACATCAACAGAAGTGGTAAGTGAAGCAGCGTTGTTCCTAAATGTTGTACGGTACATTTTCCTAAAATAAATAGAGTTAGGTCCCTGTCATCTACCTCCTGCTAAGTATACTGTTACTGTTTGCATTTTCATTATGAAAGCATCTTTTACCAGGGCAGCGTACACCTCCTAGGAGACTGCATTTGGATGAAAAAATAACCTTCGTTTGTCCACAGTAGCCTTTCTTTGCCTCTTGGTAAAAGCACAGTACTTGGAGTCTTGATCATCTTCCAGAGCACACTCTTGAATGCGTTGTAAAAAGATTCAAAGCACTCACCCGGGAGCCCTCTCTTTTAACAGTATCCCGCTACTTGCCTGCTTTTTCCTCTAGAGGCAGCCTTCTCAAGGAAATTGAAAAGTTTGGGTAAGTAAGCTGTAGCCCATTCTGATAGCACATCACGAATCTTGGTTTCACACTCGGAAGGTTTGCTTTCTAAATCAAAGTCTCCTACAAGTTCCTTCTAGCCAGTAGTTCCCTGTAGCTAACCACCGGGGACCCACAGTAATTCAGAGTCTTGAATGCTTTAGGGAGTCAGTGCTTGACGTGTGAGTCGGCGTACATGCAGCCTCACGAAATGATAAAAGTATACTCAGTGGGCACTGAACACACCATTTTTAGTGGTAGTACTAGGTGAAGTGAAGACTTAATATGAACTGTCGGTGTTGAGTTTGGAGAACTTGGCCCAAAAAAAAGTTTTCTATAAATCGTACCTATTTGTATATAAAATTTTATATTTAATTATGTCATTTTATTGATTGCAGCAACTAATAAACCTTAATGTACTCAAAATGAATTGGCTGAAACCAAAGAAAGTGGCATGTCAAAGACCCTTAAGTAGTAATGGGCAGGGCCACATGTTTGAACTCAGCCAGAGCTCATACTAAGCACTGCCCTATGCAGCCTTTGCTGTAGCCCTGGCAGTACTGCCATGCAGAATGCAGTTTGACTCTCGATCCCATTTACATTGCTCCTTTGGGACTGAAAGTTACTGTGAGACTTATAGTTCAATTAGTTGACAAACTTACACTAAGTAGTCCTCAAGCCATTGCTATTCTCAATTCTTTGTTTTTCTTCTGTAAAAGTGGCTGCCTCCTTTGGGTATTGTCTTGGATAGCAGTGGGAAGAAGCCTCACTTGATTGCATCTCCATCCTGGTTGTTGGAGAAATGTTGCAATAATTTCTCTTTGATTTCTTTTCTGTTTGGGTACTTTGTTCAATTGTATGCAATAAAGGCTCCCTTGTTGTAAATTAGGCATTCATATTTTGCTTCAACTCTTTATTGTGAGTTGGATGAAAGTTACAGTAAAGATCAGTTTTCCATTCAACACTTCTTTTTTTAAAGTCATTTTATTGGCGTCTCCATTCAACACTTGACACACATTTCATGTCATTGATGCGGATCTCTACAATATAATACCACTTTCCCAATGCCTCCCTGTGTTCTCTCCATTCCCTTTGCCTTCCTAACTCTTCTGACCCTGGTTGCTGCTCAACAACGTAGGCTATAGAACATTATCTCTGTGGAGTATGTTATGCCCATTAACTGCGGTATCCCTGGGACTCCAGTCCCAAGCATCCTGACTCAGTGACATTCCTTCAAGGTGTTTGGTTATATCTAAGAAGTCTTCCCTGTATATGTTCCATCACATTCATGGATCTATTTGCAGCAAAGGTGAATGCACATGTACAGATGTCTTCTCTGAAACCTCCGTGTGGTCACGCGTGTGCTCCCCCCCTCTCCTACAAAAGCAAGCACCCTACAGTGGTTATCAGCCTGGAGATGTCAGTATACCGTCCTTTCATTATCCCGTTGGACACAATTACCCTGTTTTCTATTCGGGTATTGGTGAAACCAGTAGTAATTTATGTTCATTCCATGAATGAAAAACAGATTACTCTGTTTTGGAAATAAAACCCAACCCCAGACGAGCCTTACTTTAATTATTTTAATCTACATACGTTGTGAGTTTTGTTGCTTTACCAGATTTATTTATCTTTAAAGTGTTTTCATTGTAAGCCATATATAAATTGTGCCAATTTAAAGTGCACAATTCAGTGATGTAATTTACATTCACAATGTTTTACAACCATAACCATTACCTGTTTCCAAACCATTACCTATTTCTCAACACTTCAAATAGAAACCTATTAAGCAATAGCTCCCCTTTCTCCTTCTTCAGGCCCCTGGTAACCACTCATGAATTTTGTTCTGTACATATGCCTCTTCTAGATATTCCATGTAAGTAGGCATATACATGATAGACTTGTGTGAGTGAGCTAAGTCATGCTGCATAATGCGTTCAAGGCTCATCCATGTTGTCTCATCAATCCAGACTTTATTTCTCTGTGTGGCTTAGTAGCAAACGTTCTCGGGTTCAGATTTAAAACAATTTTATAGTCTTTGCTTACAGTTTTTTGTCTCCTTTCCATGAGGGATTCACTGGTCCAACTTTAGATTTGACACTCCTTTTTGATTAACTTAAGAAGGTTTTGGGGTGGTGTGGAGGAAAAGAGAGGCCAAATATCTTCAAAACCAGGTACTATGGAAAATAATAACCTCTCATGGAATGCATAGTGGAGGTGGCTATTGGACACAAACTTTTAAAGGTACCAGCAATGAAGCTGTTTCACATGTCAGAAGCCAAGAGAAGAAAGGTAACAATGATTTTTATTTGCTAGTATTTAGTGTACTGGCTGGAATGAGATTGGGAATGATGTAATCCTAGTATAAGATTCCAGAGAACTAAGCAAGTGCTTGCTAAAGAGAATAATAAGAGAAAGATATGGTAAAGACCCAAAAATGGTGAACCAGGAGGGGGAAAGTGGACAGATTTGAACAATTACTGAAGAAAGTAAGGTGTATCTGCCTGGTGTGTGTGTGTGTGTGTGTGTGTGTGTGTGTGTGTGTGTGTGTGTTGTATTTTTAAGGGTTTTTAAAGTTTTTTACTTTAAGAGTATATAGACCTTTGTTTCCACTTACACGCACTCTTTTTGGTACTTGCCAAATGAAGAAAGTTTTGCTTAAAATACAGTAAATAATGCAAAATTAAGCACAATGTGTTTTTAAACCCTCCTAGTAACCCCTAATATTTGGTAGATTGGAACAACTCACCTATTTTGGTTGTGGGAAGATCAAATTCAAATCCATCAGCCTGGCGGTTAGAGTGAGCAATAGAGAACAAGTGAGATTATGCAAGTACGATCAGCTAGCCAGGAAGGACTAGGATCATGGCTCCGATGCACAAACAGGTTAGAGCAACCTTGGCTTAGTGGGTAGGAGTTGGGCTGCGAACCACAAGGCCAGCAGTAAGAACTTAGCAGCCTCTCCAAGGGAGAAAGATGAGGCTTTGTGTTCCTTTAAAGACTTACCCTGCAGACACCCACAGGGGCCATTTGACCTTGCCCTCTGAGTCACAAATCAGGTGTCAGTGATTTGGGTTTGTTTTTTAACGTAAAGGGTCATTAAGAGAGGATCCTGAAATTGTTTAAAAGTCTTCTGAGATGATATTTGAGCTGACTTGCACTTCAAGTAATTACTGAGCTTTTAGGGGTTTTGTTTGTTTTGTGTGTTGTTGGGTGTGTGTGTGTGTGTGTGTGTGTGTGTGTGTGTGTGTGTGTGTGTGTTTCAAACTGGAGTATGGCTTTTATCACTAATGGATGATGTATAATTAATCTCCCTTCAGTTTTTTATGTAGCAACTATTGCAATTTCTATGAAAAACATAATGCCCAAAAAGTAAAAGCACTTTTGGCTCACCAGTGTTTCTTACTAGAAAATTATGTTATAATCGATTATTCTTTTCATGCAAGTAGCAGTCCTTTATTCGTTCTGTCATGTCACTACGAGGAACTTTGTTTACTGTTTTTGTTTTTATTTCTTTACTTTGTTTTTATTAGCTTCTTGAAAAGGAGTTCAGATAGCCTGCACTGTTGCAATGTTTTTGGTATAGTAGGTTAATAATATATCCTGCCTCCTTTGTGTTGATTGCTGAGATGTGTTTGTAACAAATTGAGTTTCACTTTTGGAATGCCATGATATTATTATGCTACAACACACTAACTTATCAATGAAAATCAAAAGGTGATTTTATAAATTTCTCACAATCTCACTGTAGACTATTTTAATTAATGCTAGGGGGAGATGGTGGTACATAAAAGGACTTTTGAAATATTTTATTGTGTTAAGCTGAATGTCAGATTATTATGAGAATAAGTACCTTTTATAGGAAGGTATTTGTGCTAGTATTTGTCAGTATTTGGTTATATCTGGGAGGGTTGTGTTTGTGGGGAAATTTTTCTTGCTCTGTAGTATTCCTCTGTGTTTCTTTAAAATTCCATATGGCAAAAGGGAACACAGCTGTTTTCAAATAGGAGAAATGTCTAGTGGGAAGGGTTTGCTGGGTAAGAAAGCAGCAGTTTTGTTGTTGGACGCCGTTGAGTTGATTTCCATATTAACATGTTAACATATTAGCAACGTTTATTTTAAATCCGTTGGCCACACAAGCTGGCTTTTTCTTGTCCTGTGAAGTAAGTACAAGTTTGTCAAGTTCAACATCCAGAAAATTGCTTTCAAGATAGTCTCGTGGAAATATGTACAGGGTTTGCAAAAAAATTCCTAGGGAGAGTAGTATAAATTAAAGATAGGAGGTCTCTGGTAGCTATTGGCAAATTAGAATTAGTTTTAATAGTACTCAGTTATAGTACTAACAGTACTAAGCACTCTTCGGCCTTGTCTCATCTCCTCCCTACAACTTTATTCTGCCTACTATACCCCTGGGTTAAAAATCACAAAGCAAATTCAAATTATCTGAATAGGCCAACCTCTGCCTTCATGGCTGAGGTCATTTTCCTTAGGGTACTCTCTCAAGCTGGACCTTGCTTGACAAACTGGTTTTGCCTTTAAGAAGAAAAACATACAGAGTTTCTGTCATCATGAGACTCTAATTTAATCTTTTAAAAAAACAATACCACAAACTT